TGTTTGTGTGTGTGTGTGTGTGTGTGTGTACTATATGCTCCCCTCTTTGGAGTTTGGGAAAACTCCAAAGTGACCGCTAGCCCAGGGCTCATCTGTAATCTAGGGCATTGATCTGGTTCCATTGATAGCTGATTGTTTTCACACGTGACTCGGTTGCATTCCTCTAATCTCCACCCTTCTGCACGGTTTGCATGACAAGCAGCAGTGGCCTCAGTGGAGAGAGGTCGCTCACCTCTGACCAGGATATAATTGGAAAAAGAAGGTCATTGCCGCCTTTGCTTCTGGGGCAGATCAGCTTCGTTCCATTTGTGTCAGGAGCTGCCCCAGCACATATTCTCAATGACATGGAGACAATGGCTGTGCCCCACGATACAGCCCACAGAGATGGGCTCAATGCGACACAAACATACCACAGGGCCACACTCACTCTCATCAGGGCAGGCATGTACACTGTCACACACACACAATAGGCACTCTCAATAAACACGGATGACACCGATGACACACAGGACAATGGGTACCCAGTGATATCAGACACAGAGGATACACAAAGAAATGCATAAGCAATGCTTATCCAATGACAGACACCCCACATTTACACATTGTGACATATGGGCATATTCACAAGGGCAAATACCTAGAGCTGAGCTACCACATCCATCGTGAAACAAACAAACAAACAAAAAGCAAAAAACCCAACACATCAGTAATGGTACTACCCACTTGGGAATGTATCAGAATTAAAGTGGGGAGCTCTAATAAAGTACATGTTTCCAGAAACCCCTGCTGCCACATACATAGCCCTGACAGTGAAGGTATATGAAGGTATATAAATTTATTTGTGATAAAGGAAACTTCATCAAGCAATTCTGATAGGACACTGAAGTGCTGCGACCATTAGGCTCTCCTCTTCTGAATGGTACAGTTCGTTGGCAGGGATGTTGGGCTGTTTTTTTTTCTCAGTCCAGGAAGGGACAGGCTCCAAGCTGGGAAAAAGGAGGAAGGTGATAGATATATTAGTGACTAGGAGATTATGTGGTCAGATAATTTCCAGGAACTGAAGGAGCTAAAACTGGACTTCACACCATTGATCCTTAGCATCCTTGGCTGGGCTAGTTAGCGCCTTACACATCAGGGTGAAGGACCCCTCACGTCGGGACATTTCCAAGATTCCATACACCACTCTCCGGATGTAAAGGCCCAAATGCCATACCCAGGCCGAGATGACAGTAACCATTGGCAAGCCCTAGGCTCTGTGACACAGTCTCTGGGCACTAAACTGCTCCAGAAACCTAGGGAAACCAGTTCAATAGTAGCGAAAGACAAAGGTTCCTTCTGTTCCTGGGCAGAGGCGCCATCCTATTCCCACCCCGGCCGGCCGCACCCTAGGGCCTCCGGGAGAGGGCAGAGGGCGGGGAGCAGGCGTTGGAGGAGACAGGTCACAGCCTCGGCTAGGAATCGCGGAGATTCCCGTGGCGACCGACAGGGTCGCGCCGCCCCCTGGTGGTTCCACAGCACAGTTGAGGTCAGGGAAGCCAGCGGCTATGGTGTCGCGCAGCACGGGGATAGGCTCCCTCTTCCTTGCATCCTGGGGTCGAAGGATGTCGAAGCGATGCCCCCGAGAGGGCCGCCTGTACCGTCCTTCTCTTTGATTCTCCCTCTGCCCCCCTTTTCCTCTCCCCTTCCTTTCCTCTCCATCTCCACTCTTCCTGCCTTCCTCCGCCCCTCCCTCCCCGCCGTCCTTCCCCCACCCCTCCCCC